ACCACTGTAGATCAAGGGGTCTGTAGCTGGGTTGGTGTTTAGGTTTTTCTTTTGGTAGTGTGCAGAGTACCTACCTGTACCAAAGACACTAGATGTAGGAGTCCAGGCTCTACATGGCTCCAGCTTGACTTCTCCATGTTCAATGAGTTGCGTAGGTGTTGTCTTCAGCAATGGAGCCTTACTGTCCCAAGTTTGTGGAGAGCAACCTATTGCCTTGGCAACAACCCCTGGGTTGTTTGAGGATTGCCATTAGACCCTTTTGGCCAACTACTCAATTAGTTGTAACTCAGTCCCTGTACAGGAAGCTTCATTTGGTGACAAGAGATGGCCAGTTGAGACTCTGTTTCCCCTGTTATTTGATGATTTCATTTAAATTGCCTTCATATATGTATATATTTTAGGAAGCTTCTACTGTATTGTTACCCCTCAAATGGCTCTTAATTTTAGCTGTCTCTCCCTGTGTCCCGTCCCTTGTCCCTGTCTTTCCTCCCACTACAAACTTGATCCTCCTGTTCCAGCTTTCCCATCCATAACTATCTATTCTGTTTCGCTTTTCTATTGAGTTCTATCTGTTGGTACCAGTTTTCTATATTAGTCACCATTTCATTACCATGATGAAATACCTAAAGCAAGATGCTTTTGAAGGATTTATTTTGTTCATGCTTCTGAAGGGACAAGGTCAAGGGACTTTCCCCTGGTGATGGCCTCCTTGATTCAGAGTCCTGGGGCAATAAAGGGCATCCCCATGGCAAGAAACAGGATGAGTATAAAGCCATCAGGAAACTTGTGGGATGTTATACTTGTGGTCCTGTTATTAGATTGACTTGGCCTGTGGGGATTACTGTGGGGGAACTGTCTCAATTGTTAATTAATGTGGAAAGACACAGCCTACTATGATCAATACCATTCAATAGGCAGATGGTTCAGAACAGTAACAGGAAGGAGAAAGTTAGCTGAGAGCAACCAAGCAAGTAGGCCTGCATGTATTTATTCCTCTTTGCTCCTAGAGGACCTGTTTCTGAACACCACAGTCGGATTAAGTTTGTATCCTTTTAGTCCTCACAATGGGAATCAAACTTCGACACTTAACATTAAAGTTCAACTTAACTGCATCCAACCCACATAATTGTTTCTGGTTAAGGACTAACCTTAAAGCCAACGGCAGAAGATCATGGGAAGGCTGCCCTGGGATTCACTGACATTGCTATTCAAACAGCTAGTGATCAGGGGCATTTTGTGGAACTGGGGATTGCTTCTTAGGTATCATTTAAGATCACATCGGGAGATTCCATTGCAAAACTACACAGTGTCCTGTAGCATGTGGTATGTGTAACCCATGTGGTGCTACTTTCCCCAAACCAGAATCCCTAGGTCGGAAGCCTGACAGGTGGACGTGGAGGTACCACTTCTCATAAGGATAGCTAGTGAGCCATCATAGAAGTTCTGCCTCATGCCTGTAAAGGCGTTTTCCCTGGGTTGAAGCTCTCAGTAGTGAACAGGGGAACACCCTGGTCAGAGAACATAGGGTACCGCAGAGCTAGAAGCTGTGGTGGCACCTGGATACTTTGGGCTCCTTTGCTGCTGGGTTAAGAGACCCTAAAGGGTGCTGGCTGAGCAGTGCTAAAATGAAGAAATGAGGATGATGATGCCCATTCTAGGCAGGTTCCGGTGGTCTGGGCTCTCTTACCCCACCACATTAGGGATAAAAGATGCAGCAACAAGAATCAAGAAGAGAATGATGCTGGGAAGACAGGGTGGACCATGTATGTTTAAAGCCACACACTGACTTGGTGTTGAGTTGCAGGCATGAGTGTTCTCTTACAGCATCTGGTGGATTTTTTTCATGTTGTATTGTCTCCATTTTACAGACTCTATCTCACGTTTCTTCTTTATTCACTGTCTTCCCACAACCATTGTGTATGAAGTTCTATGTTCCTTTCTCCTTCCCTCTTTCCTTCTCCCTTTCCTTTTTCCTTCTTTGGTGTTTTTTTTGTTTGTTTGTTTGTTTCTGTTGAAACAGAGTCCTTCTATTTAGTTCATGCTGGATTCAAACTGGCAATCCCCTTCTCTGCCACTTTGAGTGCTGGGGTTACAGACATGTACTACTTGCCCTGTGAGTTCGTTTTTTTGTCAACTTTAGACAAACCTATCTGAGAAGAGGGAATTTCAACTGAGGAATTTATTTCATCAGATTACCTGTAGGCAAGTCTGTAGGGCATTTTCTTGATTGAAGATAATGTGGGAGGATCCAGCCCACTGTGGGCAGCAGTGCTCCCCTGGGTTGTATAAGAAAGCAGGCTGAGCAAGTCATGAGGCACAAACTAGTAAGCAGTGTTCCTATGTGGCTTCTGTTTGAGTCCCCACCTCCATGTTCTAGTCCTGCCTGAGTTCCTGAATTGGCTTTCATTGATGGTGGACTATTGCCTGGAAGTGTGAGCCAGATAAATCCCATCCTCCCCAAGTTGGTTTTGGTCAGTGTTTAATCACCAAAATAGACCATCCTGCATATCTGAGCTCTCTTTAATGTTGATTCCATGGGTGAAGTAGAGTGAGATGACAAGAATAGAACCAGAGAAGTGCTTGCCATCAGAGACCTTAAACTTTCTGTCTCGGGGAACCAAATGCTTGCGACACTGGGGGAATCTCCCTAGGGAGAAAACCCGTGTGTTTCCAGATAAAGAGTGCCTTGTTCCTCTTATATGAGGAAGTGAATATGAGGGAAGGAAGGCGTGTGTGCATCAGAAACACAAGGTGGGCTTAACAGGCCTTTCCCGTGCGTTCGCGACCAATTGCAGGATGGTGCTGATTTGGGGGGACGCTGTCTTTCTGGGTGTGCGTGTGAGGCAGGGTTACCTCCCTCAGGACAATTTCTCTTAAAGGATCAGCCTTGGCTAGATGGTTGCGTCTCCTTGGGACTTAGCACAAACTGTGAATAATCAAGAACAGGTGATAGTTCTCCATAAAGGTGGCTGAACTGTGGTGTGATAGTGGCTGCAGGAGGCAGGGGTTCCAGGTTCTGTCCCCCACCATGCTTTGTCACAATCCCCCAGTAGGTGACTATGAGGCCATGGTAAACATGGTAAGATTTCTCCCTTACATTGCAACATGGATGAACCGTGCGGTGAGATAGCCACTTTCAGGAGGGTTTCAGACTCACCAAATCCACAGAGACTGCAAGCAGGACAGGAAGCCAGGAGCTGGGGAGGGAGCGGGGAGTCAGTGTTGAATAGGGACAGAGTTTCAGTCTGGGAAGATGGAACATTCTGGAGGCGGATGGTGTGGGTGGATGTTAATTCTGCTGAGCTGTGTACTTGAACTCGGTCAAATGGCCAGTGTAAGGCACCGTGCATTTACCAGGGTTAGAAGAAAGAATTCTTGTTCAGACAAGGTCATCGTGTGGCCCCTAAAGCAAAGAACTTCACCAGCTGGTGGAAGCCAGGCAATACGCAGCACGAGGAAGGCTCGGCCTGCCCTGTGGGTCTGAAGAAGAGGCTGGAGGGAGTGAAGCAAATTCACAGAGCAGAAAGCTGTCCTAGCTGGCAGCCACCAAGGAGAGAGGGCCCACAAGCACAGCTGCAATAAATTAAGTTCTTCCAGCAGCCAGAGTGAGCCCAGACAGGGGAGCTTCTGGAAGCCTCTGAGTAGGGCCCAGCTAGCCTGTCCTCTTCCTTTTAGCCTCATGAGAGGCTAAGTGGAGAACCTGCCCACTCCATCTGGGCTCTGACCCACAACCTGCTGCTACTTCAGGTTGCTGTTGTGAAGACACACACACACACACACACACACACACACACACACACACACACACCCCACTTGTGCCGTAGGCATGGTTCTCAGGGCAGTGCTCAGTGACTGGATTTCTGGTAAGTGATTAATCCATAGAGGGGTTCATATTTTAATGGCATTTAAAAAAGGAAACTAGAAAGTGAGGCCTCCCTTGAGGAAGAGGTCACTGGGCGGTACCCTTGAGAAGGGATTTTCTTTGTCTTTGTCTCTTCTGTCTGCTTCCTGACCACCATAAGGTGTTAGCTTTATTCCACTATACACATACCTTGCTGTGTCCTGCTTCATTTGGGCCCCTAAACAAGAAGTCAGCTTACTGTGGACAGAAACCTCTGAAAACAGGAGTCAAATTAAGCTGACTTTCCCAGGTTTCAGTTGATTTTCTCAGGTATTTTGCCATGGTAACAGAAACAGACAGACATTGCTGCCAAGTGTATGCTGTCCACTTCACAGTGTAGGACATGAATGTAGGGGTGTCTGGAAGTGGCAGGCACAGTACTACATCTGACCAGGGCTCCTGCCTGCCCTGTGTTGGTTTTCTCTGTCCTTACCTATTCTGTTCTGTGTGGAGCTGTTTCCCTGACGTCATAGTTTTAATCTGGTGTCTTCCATAGGCTCATGCATGTTTGCTTTGTGTCATGGGTTTGATGTGAAATGCTTCCACAGGCGCATATTCTGAATGCTCTGTCCCCAGCTTATGGTGTCCTATTGTGGAGCATGTAGGAAGTGGAGTCTGGCTAGCAGAAGGAAGTCATTAGGGATGGGCCTTAAACTGCCTGTGGCAGTTTCCATAGGCTCATAGGGAGTGGCACTATTAGGTGGCATAGCCTTATTGGAGGAAGTGTGTCACTGGAGGCTGGCTTTGAGGTTTCAGATGCTCAAGCAAGGCCCAGTGTCACTCTCTCTTCCTGTTGCCCGCCAACCCACACATAGAACTTTCAGCACTATGTCTGCCTGCATGATGTCATGCTTCCCACCATGATAATAAAGGACTATACCTCTGAACCGTAAGCTAGCCACGATTAAGTGTTTTCCTTTATAAGAGTTGCCATGGTCATGGTGTCTCTTCACAGCAATAGAGACCCCAAGACACTGCCCCCAATTCCACTCTACCTGTTCTCTGCTATTACATTACTTTTCTCTAGGAAACATGAGCAAGAAACTGGTCACCCCAGATGCAGCATGGACAATAGATCAAAGGAAGGATTCTACCCAAGTTTCAACTTAAACCAATGTGTTTATTGGGGTGTGGAGTTACTTATAAGGAGTATGGGTGACCCCCAAACAGTGTCATCACCTAAAAGCTCCACCCCATGACGGGTGATGATCTCATGAATTCTGAATCATGAACACCCGGCTTCAGTTAACTTTACGCTCCAGAATGTCCCAAGATCCTAACAGTTCCTGGGCAGGAGGGAGTGATATCCCAGGTGAGGATATGGTGACCTCTTCTCCCTAAACTAAGGAGCGTTAAGAGCTCCATGCCATTATCTAAAACTCACTATCACCATCTGGTTCCATGCATTTTGTTATCATGACCATGGAGCCAAAGTCTCCTTTGCTCCACAATAACCCAGAGGAAGTTAGTTTACTTCATCATCTAGCCCCCAGCATTCACCACCTAAGTTCCTGATGCCATAGACATAGCCACTCACTCCTCCATGTTGAAACAGTGAGCCAGAATAAATCTTTCCTGATTCTAGTAGGTGTCTGGCCACACAATGTAAAAGCAACTAACATACCTAGTAGAATCTTCCCTTCCCTTGCCCCACCATGCAGATCATGGGAAGATTCAGGGCCAAAGTCTTCATCTCTGTGGGCAAGCAGGCAGCAAGCATCCTACTAGACTCAATGGTTAGCAAACACCTGTTCTTCAGAGGGGTGTCGAATAGTTTGCAAATGCTGGTGCTTCAGAGGAGCACTGAGGCACTTGTGGCCCACCCTGGGTCCATCTGAAGAGGCTGGGTTCCTAGGGCTTCCAGCCATGGGCTCTGAAAAGCAAAGTGGGACAGTGAAGTTGTTCTACATGTTCTAGAAAGAACTGGGCATCTGTTATGTTCCAGAATGTTCTATAGGGACTATGAGGCTGTTGAAGAACATTCTAGAAGGGACTGCAAGTCCACCCCAGAATGGTCTAGAGTGGGTGGTGAGACTGTTTCAGAATGTTTTAGAACGTACTGTAAGAGGGACTGAGATATAATTCAGTCAGAGGCATGCACACATGCCCCTCCTCTTGCCAATTAAATAAGTTATAAATGAATAAATGTAAAAAACACTTGCCTTGCAAGCACAAGGACATGAGTTTCATTCCTATAACCATAAAAATGCCAGGCATGGTGGTGCATGCTTATAATCCCAGTATTGGGGAGGTAGAGACAGAGAGCTTTCTCTGGGACTCTCTAACCGGCCTATCTAGTTTAATTGGTGGGCTCCAGGCCAGGGAGAGGCTATTTCAAAGTAGGACAGCATTCCTGGGGATGACAACTGGTATTGTCCTACAGCCTCTACACACTCATGTGTGCACACATATGAACATTTAAAAATGTGGCCAGAATGCTCTGAGGGAATGGCAAGGCTATTTTCAGAACACAGGGGGGCAATGCAGATGTTGGGGATAGGGCCCCAAATGCCAGAGCACTGGGTAGGTGGAGCTTGCTGACAGGAAGGTCCAAGTGCTCTGGCTGCTGGGACTGGGTCCTTCCTGACTCTGCCAATGATGAGTTCCGGCATTCCTTAAGAGCAGATATCCTGACCTGGGAGCTCTACTGAGTGACAGGGGTGGGGGAGCAGGACTGGAATTGTTATATCTCTGTGTTGGTGGCAGGGTGATATCAGGTCTCATCAGAGACAGAAAGAGGGCAGAATAGAGGATGGCATGTTGTCACCCCACACTTCCACAGAGCTTCCTAGGGAGGTCACGCCTGCCCTGCTGGGCACAGGTAACACATCCTTGGTGGGAGAGATAGAAACATTGGGACCCTATGGTGCTGAAAGACTCTTCTAGAGAGAGGGGAGCCTACCGTGGGGTCAGGGTGTATCTGCCTTTTCGATCCAAGCCACAGTAGGAGTGAATGGCGAACCAGAGGAAGGCACAGAGCATCATAGCATATACCTGGAGCAATCGGGAGAGATGCCCAGAGTCAACAGACACCAACAGTCCAGGCGGCAGATCCTTACCAGGGAAGTTTCTGGGACTGGGAAATGGAGGGCAGGAGGTAGACACCGGACCATCTCCCTGATGACTGGGCCTGGAAGGTCCTGGTAGTGGCATGACTAGAGTGTTGACCTGGGGCACTAACCCAGGACTGCTTCTATCTGGGCAGGGGCAAAGCAGGGCAGGATAGATGGAGGGCAGGGAAGGAAATGGTGGCTACCGTGAGGACCAAGCTGGTGCAGGTCAGGGTGAAGGCGATACTGTAGTGTGTCCACAGAAAGTTCCCGATGCTCTGTAGGCAGTCCTGGAGGGAAGCAACATGCATGGCTGATTGATCGATCACCTTGGTTGGCCCTCCCTGCATAGTGTGCTCAGCTTTCCCCTTTCCCATTTTTTTCTAGAAGCCCCTGGGGCTGCTTGGTTTGCTTAACCAATGCTGAGGCCAGTGTAGTCAAGATATGCACCTTCCCAAACAGAACTGCTGAACACTCTGGGAAAGGGACTTCATGAACCTTGAGACTGAGGACCTCTGTCTGTGGGGATGGTGGCCCACTGCCTGGGGGCAGGGAAGGCCTTCCTCCTCCGTTGTAGCTGCCCTGAGCTCTGCCAGTGGGCCACTGTTTGTCCCCAGGCAGTCTAGAGTGTAAGTCCCTAGAGGTTGTTGTTAGTGGTGAGAGCAGAAAATCTGGAACTGTGGGCCTGACATCAACAAAGTCTCTCTAGAAACTGGGAGGTGACAACTGGCCTCTGGGACATTCAGATGTTGGCATTTTTGTGGGGGATAGCATTTGGAGAGGGTAAGGACAGGCTGGACTTTGCTCTACAGGGTGGTTTCTTGTCTTTTAGAAAGCAAGTGATCCCCTTGCTGGCCTAAGCTGACCCTGGCTTCTCTCCCACCAGGGGTCCTTTGCAGCTTAGCTGTGTCCCTTCCTAGGTCCCAATCGCTAGCAAGTGCTGAGCTATTTTGTATTTGGAACCTGAGAACTATTCTTGGGTGAATGGGGCTCCCTGACTCTCAGACCCTTCCCAGCAGGCCAGCTCCCTTCCCTGCTGGGCCTTGAGCCATTCCCCACCCTCTTGTTTCTTGGAGGGTAGCCAGACATCTCTCCCCATGAGATAGGGCTGGTTTGTTTCCAGACTAGCAGGGGGATGGGACAAAGGGGGGCTGGGTAGGGAGAGAGGGTGAAGGGGGAGGGGAGAAGTGAGTCAGAGCTTAATCCTCAAGGAAAAGGGCCACTCCCTGCCCTTCCCCTAGCACTTTCTGCTCTTTTGGGGGACCCTGGGAACACTTTCCTACTCCCGCTAAATAGCTGACCACATTGTTATATAGAACCTTAAGCTCTGAGCTTAGAGAAGCTTCAGAAGGAATGGTGGGGGAGGACCTTGATGGCCTAGGGAAGCCTCATGAAGGAGGCTGCTCCCCCTAAATAGCTGACCACACTGTTATATAGAGCCTTAGCTCTGAGCTTCTAGAAGCTTCAGAGGGAATGTTGGGGGAGGAGCTTGATGGCCTGGGGAAGCCTCATGAAGGAGGCAAAGGGTGGGCAGGGCACATGCCCCATGCTAGCCTGCAGAAGGGAGTTGGGCCGAGGGTTTGGGTCAAGCTGGCCATCCATAAGTTTACTTCCCTGCTGTGACCCCCTATCATGTCGGGTGGGGGGTACATCCCTGAGACTTTAGGGCAGATTCCAAGATGTAAGAGGCCAAAGGGACAAAGAGGATGAAGATGTCCTTTCACAGGTAGAACATGAAGCCCCAACTCTCATTTGACTTGAGTGTAGAAGCCCTCGTCTCCCTCCTCCTCACCTCTCTCATGGCCGCCTGGCCCTGACACGGGATGGCTCCGGTGCCTGTGAGAAGCCCGAAAGGAGACTTCTTCCCACAACACAGAAACTGCAAGACAGACCAGAGAGGAGCATAGCGTGGGCAAGACTGACTAATAGGAAGACTAAGGCACCAAAGCACGGGTAACTTTGGGGATTCTGCAAACTGGGTGCCCAGAGACCAGAGCCAGGGCTTGGGATCACAGCTGCTTCTGGAAAATATAGTTACCAGTGGCTTGGCACTGGTGATGGAACTGCATGGCTCTCTGAGGGCCTCCTCCCCTTAAAGCAGGGGCCCTCTGTCTGCCTGGTGGCTGAACACATACTTCCTTGAAGAATACCCAATTGCTTCTTGAAATTCTCAGTTCATGTTGAACAACGGCATTGCCCTTTTATTTTGTACTTACATTGGGTAGCCAGTCCCATTAGGGACAGAGGGCGATGGCTGAGAGCTCAGTCATCTACCCACAATGGAACCTGTGTCCTGGGACCTCCTCTTGAAGCCTGGACAGGATGGCTGACTCTAGAGGACATCTGGCACCATCCTCTGGAGCACAGCAAGTATGACCACCCTGTCCCTGGCTCACCATGTCTTGGATGGTGGCCAGTTCCTGCCACCAGCTGCTAGATGGTCTCCTCATTGCCTGGTCATACACGAGGTCATAGGTGTCCAACACTGCATCCTCCACCTGCACCAAGAGCATCACAGGAGGCAATGGCCTGAGGGAGACCCAGGGAATCCCACATCCTGGGCCTCCTTTTCCGGGAACTTTCCTCCTATCATGGCAATCCTGTGGCTTGCCTGTTGTCCCTGGGACTCCAACGGTTAAAGAAAAGGCCAGCAGATCTCAGCTACCCACTCTTAGTGGTGACTTCTGGGTAGCATGGGTTGGCATCCTGGTGCTACTGCTCATCTGGATATAGGCAATAGGCCCAGCCTGCTGAGAAGTGTGAACAGAGGCCTGGCCTAGTTCCTCAGTTCCCTAAGGTGCTTATGGACCCTTTTCCAGAACCACCCAGAATACTGGAAAGATGAGCTCTAGCCTTGGACCAGGGAAGTTAAGAGGACCTGGGGTCAGATCCAGGTAGACCATGCAGAAGAAGGAAGCTTTTGCTCCACACACAAACAGCCTAGACTTCTTTGCTTCTGTCTCCTAGCTCTGTTTTCCTACTTTGTTCAGCCCCTTCCCCAAAATGCTCTCTCCAAGGCCAAATGTGTTTTGAGAGACAAGCTGGAATTTCATCTCTTCCAGGAAGGCATCCTGGATATGTGGGGCTCACTGGTCTCCTGGCCCAGGGCCAGTCCTCCAATGTCTTTCTGCCTTTCAGAAAGAAAGGATGTCTGTTCCACAGCCTGATGTCCACTATGGGCCTCACTCCCTACCTGCCTTCAGGTCATAGTGGGCAGGTAGGTAGTTAGAGGTGTTTGCTTAGTCCAGTCTAGGCTCAAGGCCCCTGCGGGAGCCCAGGGGAACTCCGGGCTAACTGCTGATCCTGGCACCGATTCCTTCCTCTCCATCCATGCAATAGAGCCAGACATCCCCATGAGTCATCCCCAGCTCAGCCTGCCCCGGCCCTCCCCCACCCAGGACAGGTGCCAAGCTGGCCTTGGTTGCTGGTCCTTCTGGGCCAGAGCCCTCTCATGGGCTCAGCTTCTTCAGGCCTGTAGGGTTAGTGGGGGGTGGAGGGCTGGGAATGCCTAGAGCTGCAGATGGAGGAGGGGCGGGTGGGGCAGTAGTCAAAACAAGCAGGCCCTATTGGACTAGCCCTTTTGCACCACTCCCTGGCACAATTGACTTTATTACCCTCATCAGCCCTACCACTTTTCAGGGATGTCCCAGTGCCCAGGGCCCTCTGTCCACTGTCATTCCTACAGGACAATAGAGATGACATCAGCTCTAGAGCTCAGCTCAGCTTGGTTCTGCCCAGCATCCCACCCCCAAGAGCAGAACAACAGAGGCCTGCCCAGGCCTCAGGATCTGACCTTGGGACCTTAGAGACCAGGCTAGACTCTCTCTACAGAGCCCAGTACTGGGGTAGGGGTGGTACATTGCCATCTTCACTCACTTTGGCATTCAGGGTGCTCCATGAAGACTTGGGGCTGGAGTTTTGTTTTTGTGGAAATAGGGAAGGTAGACCAGAGCCCCCAAGCCTCCACATCATTTATCCAGGGCCCCTCCAGCAAGGATCTACGTCTGCAGGACTGGCAAGCAGCTTCTGGGGGTACAAACTCTCCTTTGTAAGTGTGTTATCCGGTGTGGAGGATGGAGGAAGCCCTGAGTATATGAAGTCCCGAGTGGGTGTTTGTTGTCAAGGACCAAAGCCTCAGACCCATGAGGTGTTAGCAAAGCCTCCCTCTCTGTGAGTCTCACTGAGACTAGCTAAAGCTGCCTCCTTGTCCAGCTGTATACGATAAACCTTCTCACCGCCTTGTTTATCTGCTTGTAATAACTCTGCCTCCTCGTTCAGCTGTAAATAATAAATAACTGAGCTGCTGGAAGCAAAGGGACTGCAGCTTTTCCATCAGAGTTCAAACCACCCAGCTCCAGCTTTTCTGTGTGTGTCTGTGTGTCTGTCCTTTCTTCATTTCCTTGCTGTCCCAGTCAGGTCAATCCCTCTAACTGTATAGGACACAGCAGCCCAGGTTACTGCAGGTGGAGGACCAATGTCTAGGGTATCCCCATCTTTCTTCCTGAGACCAGGACACCGTAGGCTGGGCTTGATGACTTCCCTCCCCATGTTTGCCAGCTCAGGGTAGTACGGATGGGCCGTACAGCCATGGCCAAGTGAACTCCACATGGAGCTGCAGGTGGCTTGTGGACCAGCACTGGGTCCCGAGGCTACATAGACATGTCTGTTCTACGCTTGCTCTTGACATGAATTATTAAGGAAAGCTAAACAATTCATTTCCAGCTCCTCGGGGACAGTGAGAGATTGTGGCAAAGTAGCTCTGAAGCCACAGTGAGGGTGTAATGAATAGCCCTATCACTCTGTATTCATCTCATAGCAGCCGGGACACATTGCTAGCCTCACCAACCTTGGATGCCTGCCAAGGCCTGTGTCCTGGGAGAGGACTCAGGAAGGAGCACCCCATCTTCACTTCAGGTCAGAGCCTGTGTCTACAGAGACAGACAAGGTCTCTTCTTCCTCGCTCCTTCTTGCTAGACCTTTGCTTTAGGCTGTCTTGGGGATCTTTCCAGGGAGGTTAAAGGGAGCTGGGGTGACTTCTAAGCATTCCTAGTTAATTCCTGTATCCTTTCTTACCTATGCGGCTAGGGGCAGCTAGGATGATCAAGTCTAAGGCCGTGACCTATTTGGCCTGGATTGGCCCACTGGTAGGGAGAACAGGGAGGACCTATCCTCTGGTCCCTGTGAGGCCTTTGCCTGTTCTGCACCCCAACTTTAGGGCTCAGAATGTAAACACAGCTTTAGAACGGGGAGATGGGTTGCAGCTGCCGCAAGTCAACCCGAGGCCAGTCCCTGATACCTGGCAGCTGTCTTGACTGGGGCCACCCACACTGTGACCCAGACCTCCAGCCATCCAGACCACCCCTCAGTGGACAGGGAATGTTCTGCCAAAATGCTGCTTGCCCTGCTGCCTCGGGCAGGATGCTGAACACCCATGCCATTAAGCTGTTGTGAGGGTTCAACACTCTTCCAGATCCTCTGGGCCATTGAAAAATATTTTTCCCTTTAATATCAGGGTTGGGGTGAGCCTTTGGGGGTGGGGTGAGCCTTTGGGGATCTCCTTGGGCAGGGAGGAAGGGTGAAACAGGAACTCTGGGTAAAGAGCCTGATTGGTCCAGGTAGAGGGTCCTGGCTGCACTCACCTGGGTGGGGTTGTGGAATCTCCAGAAGGCCACTTGTACCAGGACACAGAATGACAGGGCAAAACACAGGAAACCCTGAGGACAGAGATGGCCTGGTCAGTGTACAGCCAGGTATGTGGCCTGGGGAGGTAGGGCAGGGTACCAGGTAGACTGGGCTAGGCTGAGCTGCTGGCTTTTGAGTCCCATTAAATACTACTTGGGAGAAGCTCTTTCCTTCCCTAGGCGCTATGTGTCTCTGGAGGACCTGTGACCTAAGGTGTCACATACTTCCCCAGGGATGGTAGGCCTTTTCAATGTGGTGGAGACATTAGCCCACTAGAGCTACTTCTAGGAGGAACAGTGGTCCCAGGAAGGTTAGGCAGTGCCTCCCCATATCTGAAAGTTTGGCAGCAGAACCCCTACCTCAGCCATTTTTTTTTAGTTTTAAAAATTTACATTTATGTATGACACATATATAAGGGAGGCCAGAAAGAGGTGTTGGATCTGTATGACACATATATAAGGGAGGCCAGAAAGAGGTGTTGGATCTGTATGACACATATATAAGGGAGGCCAGAAAGAGGTGTTGGATCTTCTGGAAGAGGTGCCACAGGTAGTTCTATGTGGATTTTGGAAACTGAATTTGGATCCTCTGGAAGAGCAGACAGACATTTCTCCAGCCCCATTCACCTTACTTCTCATCCTGGACTTTGAGGTAGTCTCATGTAGCTCAGGCTGGCCTTGAGCTCATGATCCTCCTGCCTCCATCTCCTTAGTCCTGTGCTCACAGGTGTACGCAACCACTATATTTTATTCAGTGCTAGGGACTCAGCCAAAGATGCCAAGCATGCTAGGCAAGCACTCTATCAACTGACCCACAGCCCAGCCAAAAATGTCTCTCTTGAAGGTAGGAAACAGCGACCTCATACAGGGTGCCTTCTGTGAGTTCTTTGTTGTTTTGTTTCTGAAACGCGTTTCCAAGGAGACCCTAACCTCTGCAGCCTGATGCATAGAGGACCACAGCCCACAACCCCAGGCATAAGTTGACACCCCAGATACCATGACCTTCCTCCCCTCCTGAGTTTCTTACCCTTCCTCTACAGCACTGCATGGGTCTCTGTGGTCACCCCACGCCCACCCCTCACCCCAAGTGCTAAAAAGGGGACTCTTTACACACTCCATCCTTTCCTTTAGCTGGGGTATAACTTCTGATTTTCTTACAGAAGTTAGTGGACAGGGCAGATCTTTCCCCTGACCATGTACTGGTACAAGTCCCTACACTTCAGTGAATGGTTTTAGAGGGTCACTCTAGACTAGGAACCCTGTTCCTCAATAGCACCCACCAAAGTCCCATCTGGTGACCTTGGATCTGGGTACCCTCCAAGCTTCTGTCTAGTGCTCATGATTGTCAGCCCCAGTGCCATGCACAGAGGCCCCTGTGTGACCACTGAGCCTTCTGTATCAACCACCACCCCACTCCCAAGTGTCACTCACATGTCACTCAATGGATATGGGTAGCTGTGACCTGAATGACTCAACCCAGCCTAACTTGGGGGTAACCCCATGAGGAAAATTGACCATTATGCAGAGCAACCTTAAGTCATAGGCCAGGATGGCAGGAACAAATGGCTTATGCCAGGGCCAGCTTAGCTCTACCAAGAGTGTGGAAAGAGCTGGGGTCACGTGCACTGCCTCTGACTTGGGTGGGTGTGGGCTCCGCAGGGGTGGGGTGCTCTCTCCCTGCTTTCTCCTGCCCCTTCCAGACCTGCATCACTATCTTGGAGTTGGCCCTAGGTAGCCTGCTGCTTCTGCTTCCCCTTCTCCCCCCTCTCCTCTCTCCTCCACATTTTCTCCCCTCCTGCTCTTCCTCCCTCCTCTTTCCTCTTGCTGGCAGTTGAGGGCTGCCTTCCCCATCTGGAAGCCATTCCTCAGCTCTGCTTCCCAGCTGAGACTGTGAGCCAACCCAAGAGTTCAGCGCTTCCAGACACCATTTCATTCTCAAGAGGGAGTTTCTCCTTCTTCTGTCTGTCTTTGTCTCTCTGTGTCTTTTTGTCTCTTTATCTTTGTCTCCCTCTCTCTGTCTCTTCATCTTGCCACTCTCTCTGTCTCTGTCTCTGTTTCTCTCTCTCTCTCTCTCTCTCTCTCTCTCTCTCTCTCTCTCTCTCTCTCTCTCTCTCTCTGTGTGTGTGTGTGTGTGTGTGTGTGTGTGTGTGTGTGTGTGTGTTTGTGTGTGTGTACAGAAAGGGTCTTAAGGCCTACATAAGGCAGAGAGAGGTTGGGCCAGGCCAACTGTGACCATTTTTCTCTCTATTCATTCTAAATGAAAATAAGTGAATAAATAAACTTGTAAACAACTTGAATCTGCTTCCTGTAGCTAGCTAGCTCTTTCATTTCCTGTGTTGCAGAAGGCGGGGCAGGAAAGAGCAGGGAGGGGGCCAGTGGGCACAGAGTCACAATGGGGGATGTTTCCACTCCCTAGACCCTTTTGTATGTGCTTTACATGGGCCTCGACATGCAAACCACAGGGCCATGGCAAACAGGGCAGACAGCAGACAGCACCCACCACACACACACACACACACACACACACACACACACACACACACACACACACACACACACACACGTATAAACATGCCACAAAGGGGGCTGTGACCAGCAGAACTCCCAGTGACCCTGTGGTGACTGAACTTGGCTTACTGTCCATGCTGGGGTAGAGGGTGCTGGGATTCAGCATGTGCAGAGCCTGCACTGGGCCTGGAGTGACCTTGAGAACACAGCTCTAAACAGGAGGCATCTGGCTGTGTATTTTAGTCTGTCCCACATAACAATACCGTACCATACCCTGAGTCTGTTAGGGATGTGGAACTGAGGCCTTGGGAGGCCTGGGTGGGTTCTAATGCTCCAGGAATCCATCGCCCACAGATCAAGTGCCAAGCAGGACATGGGAGGTGCTTAGGAAGACTGAAATGGGATAGGCTGATCTGGAGCCCCTAGCCCATCTGCCTACAGCTGCCTGCTTTACAGTCTTCATGCTGACTATGGTGCCCCCTGGTGGCTGAAGCCATATTCAGGCGCAGGCCTCTCAGGCTGTCTTCTGCATACCCCGGCCTCCATCTTGTCTTTCCTCCATGCTTCCCTCTAGCAAGGCATAAATCCTCTGGGGCCACAGTCCACCAGCTCTGTGACCTCTTCACTAGGGCCTCCCTCTGGGCCCTAAATCCAGGCTATTTTTGTTTAGTGCTTATTCATGACCAGAATTGTCCCTATCCTGCCCCTGTGTCATCAGAGCAAGAATCCCCAAAAGGCTAGAGCTGCCAAGTTCTGCCTAGCCCACCACCCATGCCCACCCAGGTCTGACTGGTCCCTGCAGCAGCTCTAGGTGGGAAGTGACTCTATCCCTGTCTTTGGAGACCTAGGGTCGTCAGCAAACATAATGAACATGATGAGATGGCAAAGTTTCATTTCAGCCTATGCAGGAAGCAACTCTTCCAGCTCAGCTTTCTGAGGGTCCCTGGATCCCCCAGTCACTCTCAGGCAGAGGTGGAGAGTTCTACAAGCAGGGCGCAAGGATGGATGAAGGAGAGAAATGAGATCCTACACCTGCAATGGAGGAGGCAGATAGCAGACCAGTGCATCAGGAAGGACCTGCCCCAGTTTATATGACTGGGGAAACCTAGATCAAACAGGGCCAGGGTGGTCGTGGGGAGGGCCCCGGCAGATAAGAATCTGGACTGACTGTTGAGGGGCACCCTAAGGCACCCATGTAGAGAAATAGTTACAGCAGCAACAAGGGCTTTCTTCTGTGGGGTTGTGAGAACTTCCCTTCAGTGACCAGGCAGGGTTAGTTGACCTGTGAGGAGGAAGCCCGGGCTGCCTTGTCCCTGGTTGTTCTCCTAATGGGAAGCGGAGTTCATTCTGTCCTGTGTCCAGACCCAGCAAGATACCAGAGCCAGACCTTGCTGGGGCCTTTGGAGATGGCCCCAGGGCTGAGAAGGCCAGCTTTCTTTCAGGGGCCCTGAAGAACCATTGTTAGATCTGAGGAAGACAGGGTGACATGGAGCCCCATGGAGACTTCTGAATAACCCAGGTGGAGGTTCTTGCCTGGCTCGGGTGGGAGGGTCCTGATTGGACAAGTGGGAGGTGCTAACTGTGTAGGTGGAGGGACTCACTGATGCCTGACCCCTGACTTCTGCTTCTTTCTGGTTGCTTCTGCTGGGGTCAGGCAGTTCCCCAGGCTTATTTCTCTCCAGTTCTTGTCCCTGTCTGAGAGAGGAAGCTGGGGCCATCTGGCAGCACACAGAACTTACCGCAGCCATGAGGCCATGGGCCTCCCTCACAGTGGCTATGGTGCTCAGGGCAGCGCCTAGGCTCAGGAGACCAGCTAGGCTAATCGTCACGTAGAAGGCTGTGGGAAGGGAGAGGCAGAGGGTAAGGGGTCTAGCATGGGGACTGGGCATAGAGGTTGGATCTGAAATCTACTTTGGGGGGTCACAGAGCTAGAACTGAACTTCTGATGAGGTCCCAAAAGGCACATATCTCTGGCCCCCAAAAGAAGGGGTGTCCCATAACCTGATAGCCCGTTTCCTCCCAAGGCTGGTAAGGAAGGGGTAAGAGCAAAGAGCAAGCTAGGAGTCTACTCCTTTCCCCATTACTCCTGCCTTCCCTGCCTCACAGACTATCTTGAAGCCACATCCCCGCACTCTAGTGCCAGGTGGCAGTGTGGAGTTGTGACTTTATCAGTCCAGGCCCAGGCCCCAGGCTTCCTGCCTGGGCGGGGCTTAGAGCCTTAGAAGGCAGGGGGCCTAGGGCCTGCGGCTGCCAATCCCCCATTCGGGAGCCTCACTATCTCCCAACCTTTCCCACTGGGCCAACACCTTCCTAAGTTCCTTGCATTCCTACCCAGGGTCATTAAAGTGGCCTTGCTCTTGTGGAAGGGGGTCTTCTGTCAGGCTTGGCCCTAGCTGGGCATTTTCTGAATATGGTATTCATGGTTGAGTCCCACAGGCCCATCTGATCCCTGCCCTGAGAGCACACATCTGGGACCAACCACAGCTTGAACACTCCTATGTGACAGAAGACCCAGGGTAGGAGTGTCCGATTTTGCCTAAATCTCCCCACTTTTGTTAGTGAAACCAGAGCACTGGGGTGTCCCCTCCTGGCCCCCGACCTCTGACTTCTGCCCAAAGCTAGTTCCTCTGGACAGCCTAGGGCTGGGGAGTCAGGGCAGTTCCTCCCAGATGCTTTTGGCCCTGGGACCCTCCCACCTCCGCCCCATGGCCATTTCTGGCCTCACTTACCCCAGTAGTGCATTGCTTCATAGGGGTTCCTCTCCAAGGATACGTGGCCAATGACAGTAAAGTGGTCTCCAAAGTGAGTGACAGCTGCCATGGTGGCCGTAGAGAGGGCCAGCAGCTGAAAGTGAGGTGGGCGTCATCAGAGCTGGGAACAGTTGCAAAGCCCTCCCACAATGATAGAGTAGGGCCGGGCTTCTAGGCACCCCAGCCTGGCTCCTTCCATGAGCAAGGCAGCGGCAGGAGGCCTATATAGTTCTGTGGATGGGGGAGGGGCAGGTCCTCCCACAGACATGCTACCACACACACAGAGATAAGTATGAAGCACACATACTTGTGCCATTTTCTCTAAGGGCCCAGAAGATCACATCAAACTGTCTGCAGAAACCCCACAGTCCCTGTCCTCTCCCAGGCAGCACCCCTTCCTGGCAGTCCCTGAGCACCCCAAATCACCAGCCAACCTAGCTTCTCCCGGGCTCTTCACGGCCGCTACCATGCTTACAAGGACAGGTGTTCACAGTTCTCTAAAGGTGGCCACCGGGGACCCAGACCCAGTACGTAGGACTGTGGTGTCGGGGGAGGAGAGATCACAGTGCTGGAGGGCCTGGACATGGTGAGTTATTTCCCCTACTGCCCACCTTCCCACCCCTCCTATTCCACTGGCATGTTACCAAGACCAAGAAGTTGGTGATCAGTATCTGGCATTTGGCAATCTTGATTCGTTTCCAGTGCTCCATGGTGTTCCTCTCTCCTCTCCCTCTCCTCCTCTTTTCCCTCTTCCTCTCCTCCTCTCCTCTCCTCTCCTCTCCTCTCCTCTCCTCTCCTTTCCTCTCCCCTCCCCTCCCCTCTCCTGTCCTGTCCTCTCCTCTCCTCTCCCTCTCCTCTCCCTCCCCTCTCCCTCCCCTCTCCCTCTCCCTCTCCTCCTCTCCTCTCCTCCTCTCCTCTCCTCTTCTCTCCTCCTCTCCTTTCTTTCTCTTCTTCTTCCCTCCCTTTACCTCCCCCTTCCTCGCCACTCCCCTCCCTTCTGTGGTTCCCCACTGGGTGGGGACCTCAGACCACAGCTGACCCAGTAGGTAGGATGTGCCCTCCCATCTGTCAACAGCCCTGGTAACCTAGTGGCTGGGTTGGAGGAAGGAAGGAGGGCAAGCCGGAAGGGGGGGTAGTTTCTATACCTGCAGCTGCCCTGGCTGTGCCCAAGACAACTGGGCTTTTGTAGGTGTATGAGGCCTCCCAGTGGGTGGCTTGGGCCACACTGCAGCACCAGGAAGGGGTGGAGTCTTGAGGGGAGCAGTAAGAGAAGAGCCCAATGCCTGGCATTGCTTATGAGAGTATACTAACATGCCCAGCTACATTAGAACCTTTAGTGTTTGGATTAGAGACCCTCTGTCCCCAAGTCCTCCTGGTATTAATCCCGAAATAGGACTCCTGCAAGTGGTGACTGTCTCGTGATCTGATGCTATTGGCCAGTTCATAATCACAGTGGGGAAGGGTATGATAGAGTCAAGTTTTAGGAATGTCCAGGGGCTGGGTCATTCAAGATGGGTGAAGTTTAATGGTTATTGGTCCTTGGTGGGCTAGCCATGTCTGATAGAAAACAAAAGCAAAACGTGTTTTTCACAACCAGCATCTAGGAGGCTGAGGCAGGAGGAGTATAGCAAGTTAGAGGCTAGCCTAACCCACATAGTGAAACCCCAGCTCAAACATAAATAGTGGGGAGATGGCTTAGCTGGTAAAGTGTTTGCTCCCAGAGCATGAAGACCTGAGGTCAGTTTCCCCAGAACCTGTGTTAAACAAGTCAGGCATGGCATTGCATGTTTGTAGAGGCTGAGACAGGAGGATTCTTGGCACCCCCTGGCCACCTAGCCTAACCTATCTGGTGATGCCCAGGCCAGTGAGGGACACATAAATACATACACACATAAATAATAAGCACATAACGATGAAAAACCATCTGAGACACTACCAGTCATTCTTCGTGCCTCATTCATATCTACAGGAATCTTTCTCAGGACATCATCTGTAATAACACAGAATGGCATAAGCCATGAAAAGCACAGTAGTGCAAATTAAAGAACATATGGACCATGCTAAGTGGACTTTGGAGGCCATGGTGTGCCTAGCCATAACATGAGTGCTCACCATAAAATCTGGTTAAGTCTGGGCCTTTATAAATACCTGAGGCCACTTCTGGGCACTCCAGCAAGGACTGTATGATTCTCCTTTCTCATCCTGTAATATGGAAAAAACCAGGTAACTGTAGGAGTGACCCCTAGGCCTTCTAGAAGCCAGTGGAACAAGGCTCTATGCTGGCTACCAGTGTTAGTGCTGGGAAGATGGACATGACGGCTTCACACTCAGGAATGCTGCACCGGAGCCTGTTGCTACGGCCCTCCTCTTTTCTCGCTCTTCCCTAGGGGCTCTTCCACCTGAAGCAGTCTTCTGTTTGTTCACCACCTAGTTTTGCTTACTCTTCAACACCTTTCTCTACGTGCGAGGAAAGAAGAGCCAGGCTGTCTCCAGGGCGCAAGACAGGCCTGGAACCACCTAGAATGCTTTCCCCAATTACTGTGTGCCTATGAGAAGAGAGTGGAGCCAGGTGTATTGCTCACATGGCCTTACTTTGTCTTCTCAAAGCGGTGGGGACCCCAGGCCAGTACCCCAACGCCAGGTCTAACCACCTTCTTCTCCCTGAGCCCACCTGCAGGGCCAGGGAGCCCACATGTTGCAGGACTACCTAGCAACATACCCTTTGGATACCTTTGCATCCCATCTTCTGCTGTGACTCTCTCTAGGAGGAAATGGTATGTCAGAGCGTAGCTACTGTCCTGCCTACTGCCTACTTCAGGGAATGCTGGGGCATGGCCCACTCCCAGTAGAGGGTAGTACTGGCCCTCAGAAGTCAGATAGAGGCCCAAAGCTGCATGTTCAGTTCCAAAGAGATGGCTCAGGGGTCTGCTTTGGCCCTATGATAGACACTGTTCCAAGGCCAGGCCCATTGCTTTCTGCCCAGATCTCCAAGATGCTGTGTGTGTGTGTGTGTATGTTTGTATATATGTGTATTTGTGTGTGTGCATTTGTGTATTTTCTGTGTGTGTTTGTATACATCTATGTGTGTATGTTTGTGTGTTAATATGTGTGTACATTTCTGTGTGTATTTGTTTATGTGTTATGTATGTTTATGTATATCTCTCTGTGGTTTTTCTATATTGTGGGTTTGTTTGTCTTTGTATGTGTTGTCTCTATATATGTGTGTATTTGTGTGTTGTCTATTTGTGTGTGTGTTTACTTGTGAGAGTTTTATGTTTATATGTGTCTTTGTGTATATGTATTGTCTTTGTGTATATGTATGTTTTGTATGTTGTGTATTTGTGTGTATTTCTCTCTGTTGTGTATATATGTCCCTGTGTGTGTGTGTGTGTGTGTGCGCATATACACCCACAATAGGGCACTTATTACTGTAGTATTACTTACTACGCGTGCATGTGCACATATACACCCACAATAGGGCACTTATTACTGTAGTATTACTTACTACTTCCTCTTTCTTGCTTCTTCTTTCATCTAATAATGACTTAGTTGACTAAAAACGGTCTTATCCAAAAGAGACCCAATAGCCAAGGCTGAAAATTTTGAATAGTTTAAAAAAAAAGGCACCAAGCCTGACAACCTGAGCTCAATTCTGGGTGCCACACAGTAGAAGGAGGGGACTTCTGCAAGTTGTCCCCTGACAGCACCTCCATATATGTGCTGTGGCAAGCCCTATGCCCACAGTGGATCCATACAATGATAGACTGTATCAGTGGGGGAGAGGAAGAGAACAAATGTCCCATCCAGAAGAACCCCAGAGAAACCATGCCAAGGCCTAGCCTCCTCCTGCAGGTGGGGCAGATCTCAGCACATGCAGCCAGAGCCTCTTCCTTCCTGAAGAGAGAGAAGCTATGTGTAGCAGAGACCTTGCAGGCAACCCAGCCATGATACCCAGGGACAAGCCATGTGGATAGTGGGGACCTGTGGTGGGAAGTTAGAAGAGGGCCGTCTTCTCCTGTAACCCGTGACTCCATCTAACACTGAGAAAATGCTCAGGGCCTGGGACAGCTGAGCAGCTACCTCAGAACTCACAGTCTCATCAGAGACTGTGGGAAATTCTTCAAGCTCAGAAGAGCCTTGGGGCCAGTAAAGGACACGGGAGATAGGTTTAATTGACAGTAATATATCAATACTGGGTGACAGCTGCCTCTCACCAATGTCACATGTTGCTGTGAAACATATTTGGTTTCCTGATCCAAAGTTCCTGCCACATCTGTCCAACCTGAGTCTGCATGTGACTAAGGACTATCCTATGTGGCTGAACATAAAATTGTGAATATACTTAGAGCATTAGGAGACTTTTTTCACAATTTTTTTGTGTGCACTCACACACATGTAAAGGTCAAAGGTCAACTTTAGGTGTCTTCCTTGATCACTCTTCAACTTTTTTCTTTTTCTTTTTTTTTCAGCTTGTAGAAACTTTATTTTCCTTCCACCTTTTTTCCCTTTGCTCGGGTGTCTGCAGAGCAGCTCAGGACCATGCAGTGGCTGGCTGGGCACTCCAGTCTTCAGTAGGAACCTGCTGGGTGGGTACAGAGGGCACCTGAACACCCTCAGACCAGTTGGCCACCTCTGGCTGAGCAGCAGTGAATTCAGGCGCCGGCGCCGTCCATTCGTCCTGAAATTCCTCCTTGGTCACAGCCTTCTGGGCGGCCGCAGGCTCCTCCTTCTCAGTCTCCTCTGGGTCTCTATAGAAGTAAAGGTCAGGCATGACCTCCCATGGGTGCTCTCGGGAGATAGTGCCACGCATGCGGAGTACTTCCCGGGCCAGCATCCACCACATCAGACCCACTGAGTGAGCTCCCTTGTTGTTGCATGGGTTGGCGATGTCCATGTAGTGCAGAGGAGAGTCTGTGCTACAGAGAGCAATGGTGGGCAGGTTGATGTAAGACGCCTCTGTGAGGGGCTGGTGGTCAGCCCTGGGGTCAATGACCACCAGAAGCCGTGGTTCCTGGAAGGCTGCTTGGATCTGATTGGTGAAGGTGCCAGGAGTGAAACGGCCAGCGATTGGAGCGGCTCCGGTGGCAGCGGCAAACTTAAGCACAGCTCGCTGCCCAGTGGTCCTGGATGAGATAACGCTGACATCAGCGGGGTTCTCAATGGCAACGATGGCCCGGGCTGCCAGCAACAGCTTCTCCCACGTCCTCTTCAGATTTATGATGTCGCTACCATCACTTTTCCTTTTGTAGATGTACTGCTTCATCTGAAAGTCAAGGTTGGCGCCATCCAAGTGGGTTCCTGCAGCAAGGAATTTGAGGACATCTTCCTCCATCTGCAGGACATCAAGGGCTCCGGACATTGTGTAAGTTTTCCTGTTAAGTTACGACGGGAATCAAGAACAACGCCGCATGGACCTGTCCCAGGGTAGCGCGGAAAGGCCCTTTTTTCTTTTAGATTTATTTTTATCTTATGTGTATGGGTGCTCGGCCTGGTCTCTGAACACCACATATGTGCAGTGCCTACAGAGTCCAGAAGAGGGCGCCTGATCCTCTGGGAACTCACATCTTAGTCAGCTGCGTGCCTTCATGAGCATCTTAGGAACCAAGTGTGGTTCCTGGGGAGAGAGCCTCCCGTGCTCTTAACTGCTGAGCCATCTCTCCAGCCCGGGACAGCTAACTTTTACGATGAGCGCTGGGATAAAACTCAGGTCCTCATTGTGCACTGATCACTTTACTGAGTCATCTTTCCAGCCCTGTGAGGGTTTTGGCGGTTTGTTTGTTTGTTTGTAACTCGATTGTGAGGGTTCTACACATGAATTTTGTAGGTGACAGTATTGTGTCACAATACTGGGCACACCTAAAACCCTTTAGGCTCTCCAGTGTGGCAGGAACATCCTTCATGGGTTGGCTAGAGGTTCTGGTATCCTGGTTGCCTCAGAGTAAGGCTGTATACCAGGAAGCTCAAGATGGGACAGAAGGTTTGGGAATCTCAATCCCACCCCTTCCCTAGCTTCCATGGAGGGGGAGCAACTGGCGACCAGTGACAGCATCAGCTCAACTACACCTTAAAGCCACAGTTAAAAGTAAAGGATGGTGCAGGGGTATCCAAACATCTGATCATGGGAGGCGCCAGAGAGCATTGGGCCTGAAAGTGACACCGAGGCATCCCCTGCCAGGTGCCCCACTCCGAGGCATTTCTGGTCTGGTAGCTGTGGTCACCCTTCATCATGGCCTTTATAATACAGTATCGGGCAGGTGAAAGCCCCACTCCCCAGAGTTCCATGGGCTACTTCAGTAAGTGGCCCTGACCCAGGAAGGGGCCTGCAGGAACCTTCAACATACAGGTCACATTCTCATTGGGTAGAGCTTTCAGCTTTGGGATCTGATGCCATCTCTAGGCAGGCCATACAGAGTTGGATGTACCTGGGGAACTCAGCCAGCGTGTGCTGGAGAAATGCTCGGTGTGTGGGGCACCCTCACACATTACATCACAGCTGTGTCACATGTTGAAAGTATAGGAAGGGCAGTGTTCTTTTTTCTGTATGTCCTCCCAGCTGGCAATGGAGGCTGTGAGAGGGTCCATGCGAACTCTAGCACAACCCCAGCATTTCTATAACAACAAATCTAAAAAGTAGATTTCATTTCAAAGCCTGTTTTTGTTGGAAGCTCTGTAGACCAGGCTGGCCTCAAACTCACAGACATCCACCTGCCTCTGCCTCCTGAGTGCTGGGATTAAGAGCATGTGCCACCACTGCCTGGGTAAGAAATCTACGTATTTTAAATGAATTGTTTTATTATTGAAATTTAAGAGTTCTTTGTGTATTTGGAATAGGGATCCTTTATCATATAAAATACTTTGACGATGCTGGACAGATGGAGCAGTGGTTAAGAACACTTGCAGAGGACACAGCTTCAGTTCCCACCACCCATCTGATGGCAAGCACCCATCAGTAACTCCAACTCCAGGGGATCCAATGCCCTCCTCTGACCTCCATAGGCACCAGACATGCATGTGGTTCATACACATACATGTGCATAAAACACTCATACATAAAAAGAAATAATCTTTAAAAATTGTTTGCAAATATATTTTCCCAGTCCGTGGCTTGTCTTTTTTTCCTCCTTGCCCTCCTCCTCTTCTCTTAAAGTATTTACTTGTGCATATGTCTGTGTGAGTGTGTGTACACCTGTGTCTATATGTATCACTCCCCACCTGTTCCTTTGAAGCAGGGTCTCTCCCTGAACCTGGGGTTTGTGTTTTCTAAGCTATGTTGGAAACCAGTAGACCCCAGTGATCCTCTTGCCTCTTACCCCCTCAGAGTTGGGGTCACAGGTGTACAAAGAAGTCCCAAGTTACTATGTGGATGCTGGGATCTGAACCCTGGTTTTCATGATGGTACAGCATATCCTCTTAATGACTGAGTCATCTCACCTGCTCAAAGCAACCCTGACCCTCTCTCTCCTCGATACAGGCCGCATGTATTCCAGGCTGACTTTAAACTTGCTATGTCACCGAGGATGACCTTGGATTTCTCCTGTCCCTATCTCCCAAATGATAGGATCACAGGTCTACATTATCACATCCAGTTCTTTTCATTCTTTCAGCAGTGATTCTGCAAAGCAGACGTGTGGTTCGGGTGTGAAATGCCTCCCACAGGTTCATGTATTTAAACACCTAGCTCCCACCTGGGGGCATTGTTTTGGAGGTTGCAGCTTTAGCAGGTAGGTCCTCACTGGAGGAAGTAGGACAGCGCGGGATGGACATAGAGCGTCATAGCATGACCTTCCCTTCTAACCTGTCTCTTCTTCCTGATCCACAGAGAGGTGAGCCAGCCATCTCGTGTTCCTGCTGATGCAGCGATAAGCTGCCCCCACTGCCGTGAGGGGCTGGGTGCTCCCACTGCCACGATGGGCTGGGTGCTCCCACTGCCACGAGGGGCTGGGTGCTCCCACTGCCACGATGGGCTGGGTGCTCCCACTGCCGTGAGGGGCTGGGTGCTCACACAAATCGCTCCTTTCTTGAGTTGTCTCTGTCAGGCATTTTGTCACAGAAACAGGTGAGGTGACTAATACAACAGAAGTTTTTGTTTTAATGTAGTCTGATTTCTTGGCTATTGATCTGGTGAGTGCATTGGGTTTTTTTTGTCTTTGTATGTCTTTATAAAACTTAGCAGGAACCTACTATTTACAGCTGCGAGAAACACACCATTCTGTCCCACCTCAGAAGCTTGGGGACACCTTGTCATATTCCAGCCCTAGCGATAGTAATGGACTTCTCTTCCTATGAGCATCATGCTTCCCTGCTGCTTCATAGACACAGCTGTGCTTACTGGACTACCTAAGCAGGAAGTTGTAGGCATCTGTCCTAGTTTTACTTCTTTGGCTATGAATATCTACTATCATTCAGTTCAGAAGCTCCTATTATAGGGAATGGTGCTGCCCATGGTGGGCTGGGTCTTCCCACAATTAGCTTAATTAAGACAGTCCCCCACAGACACACCCACAGGTTGATCCAAGTAGACAATCCCTCACTGAGGCTCTCTTAATTGTGACTTTTATGATATCCAAATGTGAGTTGGTCACATGGTGTTGTTTGAAGGCCAGGTGATCAAATCCCACATGATTTGGGGGAGGCTTCTGCCTTGATGATATTGATATGGTGCTGTGGACTGGATCAAACAGAGATCTACTTATGGTCCTTCCTATTGTGTAAGATACAGCACAGTTCCTAGTGGTTCTCTTTGGATTTCTGCAGCTATCAGATACATGATTATCAAGTGACCCACAGGGATGTCACTTTTCAGTGAGGCCCAGTGTGATAGTTGGAATGTAATTGGCTCCCATAATCACATAGGGAGTGGCACTATTCGGAGTTGTATCTTTGTTGGTGTGGGTATGGCCTTATTGGAGGAAGTGTGTCACTGTGAGGATGGGCTTTGAGGTTTCGTGTGCTCAGAATACCACCTTAATGTCACAGTTGAATTCCTGTTGCCTGCAGGATGTAGCACTCCCAGCTCCAGCACCACGTCTGCCTGCATGCCTCCATGCTTCCCATCATGATGATAATGGACCGAATCACAGAAACTGTAAGTGGTCCCCTTCAATTAAATGTTTTCTCTATAGGAGTTGCCATGGACATGGTGTCTTTTCACAGCAATAGAAAACTAAGATGCCTAGAAAAGAAGAGACTGTATGACTGACCTGGGCTGCTGTGCAACCTTCTTAGCTGTATGGGTGTCTCTGAGCAGCAGATTCATGGTGTGCAAGGTGCCTGTGGGAGGTAGGAAGTTCTGTTCAGGCTCCTGCAGGGACTTCACAGTCCATCACCTTGGTCTACAGAGCTGAGCCCTACCATCCTTTGTGGATGCTTCTTCAGATCCTGGATTGCCCCCAGGCACTACAGAGCATGTGGTCATGTGACACCAACTGACCACATGACCTGAAATGTCCATTACAAATGAGCTATTGAATGACCTGTGACTCAGTGGGCTGGGGAGACATATGTGTGTTTCACCGTTTAGTAGAGGTAGTGGGTGCAGGGTGGGCCTGATTACTACCCATCCTATGTTAGTTATGTCACTCATTCCTGGAACAAATATTTGACAAAAGCAACTTAAGGAAGGAAGGGTTTATTCTGACTCACCATTTGAGGCTGAGTCCATCATGGCGAGGAAGGCATTGTGGCGGGAAAAGGAGGCAGCTAGCAACATGTGTTCACAATTACAAAACAGATCAAGATGGATGCTGGTGCTCAGCTTGCCTGCTTTTCATTCATTCCAATGCCCTAGCCTATGGCATGGTGCAGCCCATGTTTAGGGTGAGTCTTTGCACCTCAATTAACCTAATTTAGAATATCCCCAACGGACATGCCCTAAGGTTTGTTTCCAGGTGATCCTAAATCCCATTAAGTTGACAATCAAGATTGACCATTGCATACTTCAAAGTTCTGGGAAGCTTCATAAAGAGCTCCCACAAGGCCGGTGGCTTGTCCCTGCTTCTTTGACAGCCCGTTCCAGCAACACCTGCACTTCATGTGTAATTTCTTGTTACCTGGTCACTAAGAAAGAAAAAGTCTTGGCTCAGCTTCCACTAGCTTTGCATGACCTGTCAACCCAATCCCAAAGTGAGGAATGGAAGAGAGGATACACCCAGCAAGACTTGGCACAGCCGCCCTGGTTGCTCTGCTTGACCTGGAAGGGGAGATCAGGGTTACAGGTTCTGCCATTTGCTGGTCATGATGGTCAAGGAATTGGAAGGAAAGCATTTGAAAAAGGTAGCAGGAGGTTAGCGGAAAGGGCTAGACCTCTCCTGATGTGCACAGCATAGGGTGCATAGGGTGTAAAGAGATGTATGTCCCATATGATGTTGGCCACAGAAGTAAACCCCTGGGCTGAATGGAGGCCCATGGTAGATGAGATGACCTAGTCAGTGGCAACCAACGAGCCTTTTCCCCAGATGTCCCTGTCATTCCTGAAAGGATTTGAGAGTGGAGATCACGTATGGACAGAATATGGGTATCCACTCATCGAGGTCCATGCACTAAGTTTACTTCCTGGCACTCACTGCTGGGTGATGTTGGAGTACCACCATCATGGGAGAGATCTCTCTGCTGCCACTGGCACCAACGCATACCTGAATATGAGCTGGCCTTCCTGGCCCAGGGCACCTTCACAGAATGCTTGACTCCCTTGCTGTGCATTTCACGGCTTCCTTCTGGACAGGGACTCAGCACAGGCAGGGCCATAGAGCCGAGAGTGCAAGCTCAGAGAACCACCATCCCTCACACACTCCACCACCCTGGGCCAAGGACAGAAAGTTGGTCATTTTCTGCACTCTGAGGAACTGGAACAATGTCCTTGTCCTCTGAACCCGTCCATGTGGCTGTGTTCCTGGAGCCACTGCTCATGGTCCTGGGAACACAGAGGGTAACACATCAATGATTTTCCTGTTCCCCAGTGTAGGCCCACCAGTGGCTGAGAGATTGAACCCAGGGCTCTTGCACACAGCAAGCAAACATCTTGCTACCAAGTTATATCCTAGCTCTCTGCCAGTAGCATTTGCCTTCCTGCCCCCACTTAGTCTAGGATCTCTTGGTCAAGACCTCCATCATAGGTACTATACTGATTCCCAGTAACCTGGAGGCTGAGGTGACCATAAGTCCACTTTGGGATCCTCTTGGGAGAGAATCACCAGGCTGCAAGGGGGTGATTGATTACGGGCTGGTGCAACTGCCCTGGCCAGGGGAAACAGGCTGTGGTTTCACAACAGAATGTCTAGAACATAGATGATGCCCTGAAGCTCTGGTCCCAATGATTAGCATCAGTGGAAAGACTCCACTGCCCAATCCAGGCAGGACCGCCAAGGGCCCAGACCCTTCGGGAATGAAGGCTTAGGTCACCCACCAGGTAAAGGGCCACAATCAGCTGAGGCACTCACTGAAGGAAAGAGACATGCAGGAAGATGGTTATAAATACCAGCCAGACCATGTGACCGGCTACAGCCCTGAGCCTTTGAGGGTTATGGAATTCTTCCCTATGCTGTGAGCAAATCTGACGGAATGACGCTTCCTTCCCCTCCTCTAGACCCCTGCACCTAGTATTTATGAGTGCCTAGCTGCTACTTTTCTCTCTCGGGATATACTGTTCCAGCTGCAGCTCAGCCAGAAGGGGGATAGATATGGCAGCAGAGAGGACAGGGGACCTCCCTCTCTGTGGGGGCGGGGATGTGCATCTGGCTGTGCAGTCCCAGCTGCCTGTTAGGTGAAAGTGGAACTTTGCTTTGTTTTATTCAGAAGTTTCACCAAAGGGTTTCATTTATGTAAGAATCCCCAAACAGACAGGTCCTTAGAGAAGGAAGTGGCTTCCTGGATCTGGGGAGGGAATAAAGGGAAAAGTGGGTGCTAATGATGGTAGGGAGATGGGGGTCTGTGTGTTGGGAACAGTCTAACATCAGATAATGGTGATTGTCTGGTGGAGTTACTGAAAGATCACAGAACTGTTGTGTTTGCTAAAGAGTGAATCGGATCCCACATCAATGAGATGCAATGAAGGTTTTTGTTTGCAAAGGGAAGTCTCTGTGGGATCTGCATGGTCTCACCTTCACTGGAGTGAAGGAAGGTGGCATCTCTGGGTGTAGAGCTGAAGTGGTGACCTTCTTTATGCCTCAAATTTGTCTTGATCTGCCCACCTAGAAGCCCTCTCTGAAGTCTTGGGTACAGGCATCCTCCCATGCTATTCATAGGCCAGAGCTGTGCAAATGTCTGTCACAGGTTAATCCAGATTTTCTGGGAGTCCAGCACCATAGGGGACCCCCTGTTTCCCATCTCTCACCCACCAGGACCCCAGCTGGCCACTGTACACTGTGCCCAGTCAGGACATGTTCCATGAGCCCCTGCTCCCCAAGTCTAGCAGGACTCTTCTGCCTTGGCCCTAGCTCCTCCCCATGAAGTGCCTGGGTGGCATCTGTCTCCAGCTCTGGTTACTAGTATGTGACCACTCTCCGGCTTTTTCTTGCTCTCCTCTGGCAGAAACACGGGGTTTCCTCCAGCTGCCTTTTCTCTCCTTGTTCTTGCTTCCTCGATAGCTTGATCAGCCCCATGGGTCTCATGCTCTTTGTGCTCTCTGCTTCCTTTCTGCACCCTTTTCCAGCTCAGCTGCAGACCACGGTAGAAGCCTGAGGTCAGCGGAGACCCCACCCTAGCGGCCTTCACAGACACACCTTCGTGTAACCTGTACACACTGTGGCAAAGTACACAAAACTGATTGTCTACATGACAGCTTGGTGGTAGTCACCATCTGCCTCCTGTCTTTCCCATGAAACATGGACTCTTTGTCCCTCCTCAGCACCCATCATTCCACCCTGTCTTCTATCTCTGTGAATCTAAGGCCTCCAGGGACCTCAGGAGAGGGATCCTTTACCAGACTGTTTCTATCCCACAATTAGTACTGTAGATCCTACCTCTAAGGGATCTGAGGAAAAGCCAGCAACCAACCAAATACTAAAGACTGTGTGTGTGTGTGTGTGTGTGTGTGTGTGTGCGCGCGCTCGCGCGCGTGTGTTTCATTCATATATCCATGTCTGCATGTTTGTATGC